ATGTTTGTTTAACTGATTTAGAGTTATTTGGTATGTGTTATTAATTGAATGTGGGTCAATTGATTTTAACATACTCCTTACATCACTAAGGCTATTTATTATATATTTTAAATCTATAAATGTATTTATGGTCCAACTACTTTTACACAATTTACCTTCCCCTAATATCTGTATCTCGTACTGTAATCCCGGACTAATGGTGGTAAGAGTGAGGTTGAAAAATTCATCGTCTTGATTTTTACTGGAAATAATGCAATTGATCAGCAGCAACTGCAATAGCATGATACGACAAGTCACGTTCCAAACATCCATTTTCATTGTAATACTATGATGAACATTTTATACAATATTATAATACTATTAAAAATTGAAAAATAATCAATATGAAGTATATATAGGTACTTAATTTATGTTTAGTAGTTCAACGTTATACTATAGGTATTTGTATTTTACTAAATTGTATTGCAACAATTATGATAGGTGTAAAAAATATAAATGTAAATATAAGTAACTCAAGAGGCAGTTATATGCACAGAAATTACAAGTATCCACAACAGCTAGCTCTGCTATACTGATTACAGTCGTCTGTCTGACTGCCTTTTCACACAAAATTAATGTGGAAAGAAATTATTCCGATATCATTATTGTTATTTTTGATGTGTACCGGTGCATTGTTATCCTTGATAAAAGACAGTTGGGTCGTGTTTAAAGAGATTTAGGCAAAGATACGGTGTTTATATTAAAAGATACTTTATTGCTACGAATTACTAAACTGATACAATTAATGCTTTCCACTTATTCATTTATTTTCTGTATACAAAAGAAGTGTCCGAGTGCGTCTAACTTTGACTGCCAAGCAGCCGTAACCAAGGGGCTTCTTTGTACAACGGCCAGGGTGGGAATTGCTGGATCAGCAGATTTCTGCTGGAGCGTCCGGTCCCGTAGTCACTTACTTCAGTATACATGTACAATAAATGTTATAACATTTGATTTAATCTAATTTTATCTATGAATATTAGGACCCGTCCTTTTAACGTCTTATTCCAATTTAATAAGTAGTTACATATAGTTTTAATTTTTAGTGTATTTCAGTTGATACGTGACGTGCGATGTAAGTAGGTATACACTATATATGCCATATGTGACGTTGTAGATGTGTAGCTACAGTGAATATACAATTTACATTTATATGTGATTTTTATTGTTTAAAAATTTACTTTCTTACAAAGTTACAAACATGTTTCATAATCGACGATATAATTTGTATGTTTTGACTAATCGTTTAAAAGTTAATTTACTAGAAGCAATAAAAATGCTTAAAAATCCGTACAAAGTATCTAACACTGCTGAATGTTCAAAAATTGAGCCACAGCCAGGTAAGTGGTATATTTGTATAGAATATAATGAAACATAATTAATTTCAGATGGCATCGAGTGGCAAGCGACAGGCACGAATTTATTATCTAGTGATAATAAACCTATTATGCGAGTGGAATACTTTGCACCGGGAAATGTCTATAAAAGTATATTCAAGCTAACTGGAAAACATCAATATAATGCTACTTTGATCAACTATGCAGAATATTCAAACTTGCACATTACTGACCCACCTAAAAATGAAATTAAAAAATCACAGTTTGTGTCTAGAAAAAGATCCATAAAAAGTATAATGAAAGATCGTTTTGAGTTATTCAAAAAACCGATAAATGAAGAAATAGTGAATGATCAATCTAATATTGAACAAATAAAGTAATCACGCCTATTTTTTAAAGCTACATAATATTATGTCATACTACCTTTTTTTTAGAAACAACAATTTTGACCCACGAACTTTAGGAGCCGACTTTTCTCTTCCAGGTACTTCATCATCTATTTCTACACCAGATTGGTAATAAATTAATTATTTTATACTACACAATTATGTTCTACCTTTAAGTTATATATTATCCATTATCTATTCATTAATAATTTTATAGTTCTACTATCCACCCATTCAACTATTTAGAGCATGATTTACATGAAGACGATGTAATTGAATCAACTGCATTTGAATCTAATGTATCTCCGAATATATCATTTGAAGTACAAGATATGTATGCACTATACATGTATTATAAACTTATACGTTTTAAACGATTTTTAAAATTATTATTTTATACATAGAAATCTTCATAATGAACCATTTCGAACGCCAAGCACACAATATGAGACATCATTCATTATTTGTAGTACACTAACACCATCCAACAATACTTATAAAAATTTCAGTGATTTGGAAATATCGAATGTGGAAAGTCACCAGCTATAGTTGGGGCACCGAGAGAACACTACTCCTTCGCGCATCTAAATGAACGAGCTCCGTGTTTCCGTGACCATTGGCCGCCGTAATTTCCCCCACTCAATGATCGTCAACTAATTAGACAGCCGCCGCCGCCGAGGTCTGTATACAAGTGTCTGTATACAGCGGCTCAAGTAAAACGAAAATAATAACTCCTGACAACTGACATAAATATTTTATAAATGTGTGTATTTATTTATTCCAACATATATTTGATCAAAATAAAATTTAAATAATACTAAAAAATAATACTTAAAAATAATACTAAGAAATAAAATAATTCATATACAAAGAAATTAATCCGAGTCAGAATCCGAACTTGTATCACCTATTGTTAGGATATGACGTGCTCCTTCTTCAGGTTCTTCGTCCATAAAATCGTCTGTTATGTTGTCGATTTTCCAAAATTTGTCTTCCTCCTTGATGACGTGTTCAACGAAATTCGTCCACATTTCCGGTGTTACTAGTTCCACGCCTCTTTTCAACAATTCTTGTACATCTTTTAATTTAAAGGTAGTATTGTGAGTACGGACATACCTCTTAACAGACGACCATGCTAGTTCAATAGGATTCAACTCACAGTGGTACGGGGGCAATCTTAATATTGTTTTATTGTTATCTTTCGCATACTCATCAATAACGTATTTCTCATGGTCATCCGTATGTATTGTTCTGACTTGAGACAATAATGCCCCTTTTGTTGTTGGATAAGTAATGTTCTCGCCCTTACTTTTTAGCCAATTTATTATTTCCTGCTTTTTCCATGACATCACTGGAATACGATCTTTTTTCACAGAATGATAGGTTGCGTTGTCCATCACTATGACAGCATTTTCTTTAAGTAACGGCAGAATTTTTGCAAACCATTCAAAGAAAGTACTGCCATTCATTTCATCATGATAGTCCGATGAGTTGGTTTTTGACTCAAAACATAAAAGGCCACCCGGTACGAAACCGTCAGTTGATCCTATGTGTAACTCAATGAGTCTCTTGCCTTTTCCCGAGGGTTCCTTTTGTCCCATTGTGAGCCCTGTGAGGAATGCTTCACGCGGTGAATTGACCGTACTGTCGTGCCATGCTTTGCTATGGGTTTCACCTGCGTTTACCCACGTCTCGTCAAGGTAGTATATTGGTCTGTTTTGTTATCTGTATTTTCTTATTTGATCTAAATATTTACCACGCCAAATAATTATGTCCTCTCTTTCGATAAGCGCACTATTGCGGGATTTTTTCGCGTAAACAAAATGCAAATCTTTTAATATTTTACGAAATGAAGAACGTTTGAGGTTTGGTAAAGTTTCATCTTCATTAATAGCTACCAACATTTTTGGTATAGTAGGAACTTCACGGTTCAACCAAAAGCCATGTATTTTCTGTCTGATAGTTTGTTTGTCAAAACTATCTACTTTTTCAAGTATTGTAGGTCTAATTTTTTTTTTATTAGGTGATGAAACTGTACCTTTTGTTTTATATTCAGCCAATGTCGTTTGTATTGTCCGTTGCCCAATACCGCTTGATTTAGAGATTGCTAAAAGCATTTGTCTGTAGGTCAATTGGGGGCTGTCTGGGTTTTCTTGTTGTTGTTTGATCTTCTCTTTGTATAGATTAATGATTATTTGCTTTTGACCAGTACCAACAAACTAAAGGATAATAAATTAATAAAATTAATAAATTAAGAATTTTCTATAGAAAAATAATAATACAAAATAATAATAATACTTACTTTTCCACGAGGATTTTTTTTGGAAGGTGATATATCGACGAGATCCATGGTGTATTAAGTACTCTAAGATAGTAAGATACACAATACTAAAAATACTTATAAGTTATAAGCAATGGTATGCTAAAAAAACGCGAAGAAAAAAAGTTGATGAATATTGTATGTATGACAAAACGTGAGATACGGGAAATCGCTATAGAACACGCTGTATACAACACCACCACTATAATAACACGTGACCAGAACGACGGCAGCGGTGGTGGTAGGCGGTAGCAGGCGGCGTCGGTGGCGGCGGCGCGCATTAACGGCGGCCAGCATTCGGCTAGATTTAGTGGTGGGAATGCGCGAAAACGGACGTATTTTGGT